GGAGTCACGAAAACAATAACTTATTCGAAAAATAAAATGAAGCACATCAGGCGACATGAATAGTCTAAGTGATAACTCATATTCTGGCGAAATTCATGGACATGGCGAGACCATCTATCCACCACATTTTATGCAAATCAACTAACAGTCTTTGTGTCACAGGAGCGACCTAAGGCGAGCGTTGTACCTAAACAAGATCCATGACTATTTTTGACTTCCACTCATTCTGCCTGATGCTCGTGAGTAGTTGGGACCTTGCGTTAGGGCTAGCTACAAACCCTTCGCATTCAAGTTTCAGACTGCTTGTACGTCTTCGAGAAGCGTTTTGATAGTAAGGAATGCTTGTTTCTGGTCCGAGAAAGCATAGTATCTACATTATTATGAATATGAATTCCCAGATTTTGCTATGCATCATTTAGTCACTGTCTTCCTTTGATGTGCAGACTTGGTTTGACGTCATTTTCGCGCATTATTTGCGTTGTCATGGCATGTTCAAAGAAAGCAATATTCACTATGCCCACCAAAAATGCTTTTGTCTCCTTAGGAATCTGACCATAGAATAAGTAGATTATAGAAACTTTGCTGACATCGTCAGTGAGAAACGCCATTCTTATCACCGACCATTTTTCTGCTCAATGACCATGCTACCCCTCTTTTCTCACGTCCCAGCTCCTAACACAGTATCCTAAACCCGTATGTTTAGGGCCAGTCATGTGAATAAATCCTTGAGTAGGATGGATACGGTGACTGGGCTCGAAGGCCAGTTCGATAAGACAGGCACTTTCAATTGCTTGTCATTTTGACGAGTTGCAACTCAGTACTAAGGATGGTAAGATTGACTGAAGATACCAACTATGTAACCAGTTAACGATGGAGTATGTAGTAGGGGGTATGAGCCAATAAGTCATCCGGAGATTATCAGGAATATGCCATGAGAATTTGGACAAAATTTGGATGATTTCCTTATACTTAGGATTTAGTCCCATAAAATAATAATAATGACTGCAATAAAATAATAATTTTAATTTAATAAGCCGTCTTCCTCTCAAACACGAAATACTCATTCCCTTATTTAGCTGGTTGGCTTTGCCGACCCCACTTTTTTGCAGCCTCCTCAGGCCTTATCTTTTAATTACTTGTGTACATTGACAGCCTAAGTTCACGAAGCTATATCACACAGCGTATTTTGGTCGCCAGACACTGCCTTACAGACCTTGAGTTTATCGATTTCGACGTCATCCAGCCTCAAAGTTTTCGTGGACAGTTTTATGACAGACTAATTTAATTTCGACATATCAGACTACTTCTTTTCGCTCAGCTGCGCACATCTTCACTTGACTCATTGAAATCTCCTGGCTGGCGGGCCTCCTTCGCCTTCCCTACTCCCATCTTAGTCCCTTCACTGAAAGTGAATCTGTGCTGTCCCCAGCCCAAAAGTGGCCTCTCGAAATCTCGAATCTGGAGATACAACCCCCAACATGCGCTTGTCCATCCAGCCTCTGAGATTCTCGAGTCCGGCTCAATTTTTCTCAACTTAATTGGCAATATTTAAATATCTTTTCGCGGGGAGCAGCCGCGACTTGGGCATGCACGAATGAATTTTAATTGGATTAGCTTATTACCACCGGCCAAGCCAGTCTCTCCGCTACCTTTGCGATTCCTACGTCCACTGGCCAGCCTGTCAGGAGGCCAACAAATAGCAACACGGTGATCCGAGAGCGAGAGGGTAGGTGAGAAAGCGAAAGAGGGTAAAAGAGAGAGCATTTTACTGACATACAGAAG